ACACACACACACACACACACACACACACACACACACACACACATCTCAGATCCAGGCACTGTTCCCCTAAACCCTTTGAGCCACGCTATGGGACAGGTACTTTGCTTTCCCTGTATATAGGTGAAGATGCATAGAGGGTCAGAGAGGTTAAGCAACTTGCTCAAAGCCACACAGCTAGTAAGTGGATTTAGCCATGGCAGATACTCAAGAGGCTTTGAGTTGAAGGGTACGATTGAAAAAAACAAAACAAAACAAAACTGGAGAGCGGGCAGGAGACAGGGTCTGGGTCCAGGTTGCTACTGATTGGCCCTGGGGCTAGGACCTAATTCCTTACCTTGGGCTTTTGTCTCTTTATCTATAAAATGAAGGACACAGATGAAATCATCTTCCGGATTCTGTGATTCTTTCAGTCTGAATCTTAAAATGGAACCTTCTTCTCACAAGATACATTTTGGTTTCTTTGTCCCCTCCCTCATCTACTACACCTTCCTCCCAGAGCTTGGCCCTCAATTTCAGGGCTGAAAAGCTCATCTATAATCCAGGGGCAGTTAAAGAACCATGCCAGGCTGCGATCAATTAGCGAGAGTCTTAAGAAAGTGGTAATTTATTGCGTTTTGTGTGCTCGCTACGCCAGGAAAGCTAATATATGCTCACAGAAATGGAGGTACAAGACAGATGGCTGAAAATGCACGGCAGCACATATATTTTAAGTCTGTAGGTTTGAGCCAGAAATAAATGAGGGGTGTGACAGCTCCAGGGCAGAATGAGAGAGATGTCTTTTCAGGCAAAAAGGAGAAACTTGCCAATGATTAAATGGGCTAGTTTCGGTGATTCATTCATTGATTTAAGCATCTACGATGAGCCATCCCGTGACCGTGGTGGGAGAGATCACACAGACCCAGACAGTTGTCAAGGACACTCTCTGATGGGTGTGAATAATAGAACACCCTCAGCACTTACTGTCTGACTCATTCTCCGTGCAAATTAATGATCACAGTAACCCTCCGAAGCAGGTCCCATGATCATTCCCATTTCTCAGGTGAAGAAACTGAGTCACCAAGGAGGTTAAGTGACTTGCGTTGGGCTTCTAACCAAGTCAGGTGGCCCAGAGAGCCTGATGTCACCAGGACACTTTCTGCCTCTGTACACATTGCAATAGCTCTCTCTGTGAAATGTTTTAGTGGCTCTGAGTGTCTCTTTCCTCCCAAATGGTAGCATGTGAGAGCGGAAGTCACTTACGGGTGACTGAGCCCAGTGGGTTTCATGCCTCTCTAAACTGCATAAACTCGATGCTTTACTCACAGCTCAGTCTACAAGGTATAGAGAATGTTTTTCCCTTCCTTCCAGGGCCCTGAAGCCAGGGCTCCACAGAGCCCAGTGTGGAGTCAAGTGCTCCTGACCTCTCTCCCCTCCTTGTTCCCATTTTGCAGATGACGAAACTGAGCCCCCAAGAGCCTACAGACCAGAGTGGAAAGGACTCATTCCCCACCTGTCAAATGAGGTAGTTGGATCAGCTCCAACATGATTTCCTAAGCACCCACTACTCTGTGCCAGGAGGGTCCCTGGGGTCTGAGGCAGAGCGACTGTGAGGACCCAGGAGGCGCTTCATGAGGGTCTGGCTCACGAGCATGGCCTCCTTTCACTGGGGCGGGGGGTGGGGGTCTTTGGATCGGCACAGTGGAGCCCTGTCCGTGGATCCCCGGAGGGGCATGTGATTCAGAGTCTGTTCAAGGAGCCCTCCTGCAAGGACTGCGTTGTTCTCAGGTCTGGAACAGACCGCTCTGGGCCCTTGCTACCCGGGGGCCTCATGAGCAGGGCTGTTACTTTAGAGAGAAGAGTGGTGCTCTGGGTTGAATTGTGCCCCTTACAAAAGATACGTTAGGGGCGCCTGGGTGGCTGAGTCGGTTGAGCGTCCGACTTCAGCTCAGGTCATAATCTCACGGTCTGTGAGTTAGAGCCCCATGTCGGGTTCTGTGCTGGCAGCTCGGCGCCTGGAGCCTGCTTCGGATTCTGTGTCTCCCTCTCTGTCTGTCCCTCCCCCGCTCGCACTCTGTCTCTCTAAAAAATAAGTACACATTAGAAAGAATTAAAAAAAAAAAAGATATGTTGGAGCCCTAATCTTAGGACCTCAGAATATGGCCTTCGTTAAAAATAGGGTCTTTATGGAGATAACGGAGTTAAAATGAGGACACAGGGCGGGCTTCCGTCTAATATGACTGGTGTTATAAAAAGGGGGAATTTGGACACAGACACATGGCGGGAAGATGGCCGTCTACAAGCCAAGAAATGCCTGAGGCTACTGGAATGGGCTACCTTGGCTATGGCTGGTAGGAGACTAACAGGGGTGGGGTCGAATCACCCCTGGCCCGAATCACATGGATCCTTTTTGTCTTGACTGATCTTGCCCTCACGGAGCAGATGCCTTTCGAGGTTTGCCACCGTAAATTTCGGAGCCCAACGGCGTGTGCACACTTTTAAGGCTTCTGATGGGCTTGCTGCGGGAGCATCATGTCTTCTCTTGTAATCTGTGCCTTAAAAGGGTGGATGGCAGAGAACCAGACTCCTGTACTGGGTGCGAATCCCGAGATCCCTGGCATTTGGGAGACACATCAAGGCTTATTCTACAAACAACCCCCGGCCATGAGTGAGCGCTGGGTGACGAGGGGAACTTTCATCCCCACCCAAACCATCTCTCTCGTCATAGTTCCTTCTTCCGAATGCCTCCTCACCAGAGGAGCCTGCCATTTACTTTCCTTCCTACCACGTGGGGACAGCTGCTGGAATCTAGGAAGTAGATAGGGGTTGTAATCATAAACAGTTCTAAGTAGAGAAACTGAAAGTCCGCACGGTTTAGTGGAAAGAGAGTTCAGGGTGTCAGAGAAGTTATGGGTAAGCCAATGCCCTACAACCAACCGCTGCTGGTCCTTGGGGAGATCACATGAAACTCCTTGAACCTCAGACTCTTCATCTGTAGAAGAGCAATGGCCGTTTCCACCCTGCCAACCTCACTAGGATTCTGGATGCTTTTGTGAAGTGTTATATAAACTGAATAATTTATGGGGGAACCAGGCAAACAATGGGTGCTTTGGGAAACTAGAATGTCTGGGGGACGGTATCGGTTCCCTACGGCTGTTGTAAAAAACCAGCATAGACATGGTGGCTGAAAACAACAGACGTTCACTGTCTCACAGTTCTGGGGGCCAGAGGCCCCAAATCAGTTTCATGAAGCCGAAATCAAGGTGTCAACATGCTTCCCCTGGAGGCTCTTGGGGAGAAGCCATTTCTTGCTCCCGCAGCTCTTGTGGATTCTTGCCTGGAATCTGGTGGAGTTTCATGGATTCTTGGCTGGTGTTTCTTTTTTTTTTTTTTTTTTTAATTTTTTTTTTTCAACGTTTATTTTTGGGACAGAGAGAGACAGAGCATGAACGGGGGAGGGGCAGAGAGAGAGGGAGACACAGAATCGGAAACAGGCTCCAGGCTCCGAGCCATCAGCCCAGAGCCCGACGTGGGGCTCGAACTCACGGACCGCGAGATCGTGACCTGGCTGAAGTCGGACGCTCAACCGACTGCGCCACCCAGGCGCCCCATGGCTGGTGTTTCTTAGCTTATGGGTGCTTCACTCCAATTTCTGCCTCCATGGTCACACTGCCTCCCTCTCTTCTGTGTACCTTCCCGAGCCCCTCTCTCGTAGTCACATTTGTGATCACAGCTAGGACCCACCAGGATAATCCAGGATCATTTTCCCAGGTCAAGGTCTTTAACTTAATCGCATCTGCAAAGCCCCTTTTTCCTTATGAAGCAACATTTACAGGTCCCCGGGGTTGGGACCTGGCATCTCTCGGTGGCCACATTCAGCCCATTAGAAGGATGTTGCCAATTACAATGAGAAGTTGTGTATGTTTGTTAAGAGTTCCCTTGGTGTCATTGCCAAGGAATACATGGCCTGACTTGGCCAGATAATTTATATCCCAGATATTGTGAATGCCAACCCTGTAAGGGGAAACCATTAGCCTCATTTAGCAGATGAGGACACTGAGGACCAGAAAGGCAAAGGATGCTGCCCAGCTTGCAGCTGACGAGTAGTGGGGCAGGAGCCCCAGCTCTAAAGTTGGCCTTCTTACACCCCATCTTCCTGTTGCCTGCAAAACAGACCACTGATGTGGGCGATCGATGTCCTCGCCCCACACGGCAGCCCTGGCTTCCACTCTCAGCAAAAATAAAACGACTCTGGCATCTTTGGGAGACCCGACCCCATGAGCTTCTGCTATCTGCAAATGCTCAACCTGGACAGCTGGCCCAGCACAGAGCCCAACATGGGGCTCAATCTCCCGAACCGTGAGATCATGACCTGAGCCAAGATCAAGAAGCAGACACTTAACCGACTGAGCCATGCAGGCGCCCCTGTTCTTTCTTTTTAAATCTTGTCCTCGGCTTCTGGAACAGGCAGGGCTATATTCTGTGCCCACTGGTTGCCCCTTCACTTATCATGGGCTTTCTTTCACTTGCTTATTATTTCCTTTTTCCATGGGGATTATTTTGTTGCACCTGAGACTTTCATTATAAAGTACATTGAAATATATTAAGTATATTTTGAGAGTAGGAATGGCGTACAGATCAGAGGCAAACAGGACTTTCCTTTTGTTGTGCACAAAAAAATGGAGGAAACCATTTTCTTAAGTGAAAGTGAGTGCTCAGGTTTCAGAGGCCTAAGTGTGTAGGGTTGATAAAGCCTCCACCCCCAAGCCAGGTCAACCCATCAACAGCTAATGTTGGAACTCCAAAGGGCCTCTTATATCTGTTATTTTGTTCACCCTTCCAACAATACTGTGAGAGGACGTGGCCATTACTAATACACTCATTTTTCAGACGCTAAACGACATGGCTGATGTCACGGAGCCACGACTTGCACCTTAGTCTCCCCTGTGGGTCACACAATGGACCTGGAGCCCTACCAGACTCCCTGCGCGGCCACAGAGCGGGTGCCGGCCGGTGAACCTTACCTGCTGTGGCCATAGCTTTTGGGAGCGTGGTACATGAAGACGTTTCCTCGGGCTCTCCTGGCCCAGTGCCTGGCCATGTCGATCACAGGACAGGTGATGAAGTAGTCCCTGGGCAAATGAGGCAGAGGAGGGAGCTTTGTTATATGTAGCAGCTCTATATACCCAGCGTAACTGAAGACACCCCCAATGCCCAGGAGACATTTGACAATGTTTGGGAGACAGTTGTGGTTGTCACAGCTGGAGATGAAAAGGTTCTTACTGGCATCCGGCGGGGAAGGGCCGGGAAGGCGGCTAAGTATCCCACAATGCCCGGGACGGACCCCAGAGCAAGGAATCATCCAGCTCAAAATGCCAACCGTCAGGAGGTTGAGAACGCTGTTCTAGGTTCCCCAAGCTTCACGTTTGCTCCCGTTCTGGGGGCTGATGGAAAGATGTTTCAGAAGCACCAGCTTACAACGGTGGGGTCGTGCGTGGGCCGGTACTCAAGCACCGTGCTGTAGAGGGGGCGGGCCTGGTCAGAACCCCACAGACCTCGGGCGGCCTTGGGTCCACCAGGCTCTGAATCCCAGCCAGCGGCCCCAGCATCTTCTTGACCCGCCATATCCTCAGCTGAGAAATGGGGCCTAGGGGACCCATCCTGCAGGGACTATGTGACAACTGAGGCTGGTAACAGTCATGAAAGTCCCTCAGTGAAGAGGGTTCGTCTCCCCCTCTTTTCTGGCTGTTGAGATGAACTCCTTTGTGGAGTCTGGAGGCAGCCAGAGTGTTTATAGGAAAGCTCTACGGTGGGGTGGGGTCACTGGGGTGTGGAAGGGCACATGGGGCAGCCACGCTTCATCTCCTGAAGAAGAGGGGTAGTGAGCAGGACCAGGAATCAGGCCTACGGGAAAGAGTCACAGCTCGCACCGGTGGAGGGGACACTGCCGAGGGCGGGCAGGGAGGCCACTGTCTGAGCCTGGCTGGGAGGCCATGAGGGCCTGAGCTGGGGCGGGGGGCTGGATTCCCTTGGTGAAACCCTCTTCGGTTACCAGCCCTGCCTCACCCCTCAGCTCTTGCCCCAGGGCACAGATGTCTTCAAAGCCCATCAGAGGCAAAGTCGGAGCGAAAGCGAGGGTTTCTAAACTCCAGTCCTGCTTGAGCTCTCTCAATAACCCAGATCAGAGCCAGTCCTGACGGGGTTAGGAGCCAACAAGGGTCCAGAACTTGGACATTGTTGAGCTCTTAGAGTTCAGTCTGGGGCTGGGCCTGCAGAAATAGCTGCTGGCTGCAGGGTTGAAAACTGAGCTCTCTGCTCGAGGGAAAATTAAAGCCTTTCTGGTTCCCAGATTCCCAGTGGGCGGGGCCACGTTTTATTCTGAGCTAGTGACTCTGAGATTGGAAACCACAGACTCCCAGATGGGGAGACCTAGCTGGCCAGGGGGTAGCAACACCCTTCAGGCCGTCCCTTCCCGGCACAGTCCAGTGCTCATCCGTGACCTGAGCGTCACCGAGGCCGGCACCAGTGTGACGGCAGGAGCCCGTGTCCCCTCGGGCTTACCGGGTGGCGTTCTCCAGGGCTCGGGAGAAGGAGGCATAGTCATCAGTGGAGTGCTCTAGGGAATAGTACCATGTTGCAGCCGCCCGGACCCCGGCGTCCGCGTCCTCACCGCCCAGCGAATTCTGCAGCGCCTGGTAAAAGGCTGTTTTGCTACTGGTCCGGCCTTGACTTTCCTCAAATTGCTTAAGAAAAAAAAATTTAAAAAAAGAGAGAGAGAAAAGAAAGAAAACGCCCTATCAGATTCTGAAAGTCTGGAGTCAGTATTCTGCAAAGCTTGTTCTAGAAATTTCTCTCTGGGCCATGGTGTGAAGCACAGGCACGTTGGAGCCAGGCCGCCAGGGTTCAAATCTCAGCTCTAGCTGTGTGACCGCCAACAGGCGGCCGTGGCCCTCCGTGCCCGCCTCTCCTGGCCTGGAAACAGACACAATGAACCAAAACGGAGAACACGCGTGAAGTACTCCAGTGGGTGCGCATAAACGCGAGCCATTATGGCCAGCGGGTAAGGGTCACCCTGGGCTCCATCCTTTTACTCCGTCAGCCAGCTCGTGATCCGTTCTGCTAGGAGAGCTAACGTGAGCCTCATCCGGTCACGTGATCAGTCAGCAGAGGAGTGCTTTCTGCGCATTCACGCAGAGCAACAGCCTCTTCTTCCAGACCCAGCTGCGTGCCGGGCCTGGGGAACAGCCGTGGACGCACTGATGAAGCTCCCTGTTCTCGTGGGCCTGGCGTCCTGGTGGGCGGAGGCGGGAAAGAAGCAGATCATTCTAGTTTATCAGGGTTCTGGTGCCACGGGGGGAAACAGCAGGTTGAGAGGGATGGGGTGGGGGCTAGTTTTCTCGGAATGGTCGAGGCAGGCACGCAGCTCTCTGGGGAGGCTTGTCCGAGTATCTTTGCCTCTCTCTTTCCTGCCCCCATCCTCCTTCCCTTCTTCCCTCCCCCCTTCCTTCCTTCCTTCCCTGTCCTGCTCTCTGCATCAGGGCCGTCTGGGAGGACCATCTCCCTGCTCCCCGGGACTCAGTTTCCTCATTTCTGAAGTCAAGGGGCAGCAGGGTGTCAGAGATGCAGCTCTTGAGACCCCTTGGCCCCTGCGCAATCCTACGCTGTGTGTTTACATATTTCTAGGCTCTTATATCAACAGTGAACTGTGCTTATCGAGACGCCCTGGTATGTTTAAATTGTTTTTGTAAACATTTCCAAGCATACAGGACCTGTGATTAGAATTTGAGGTGTGGGCATGATGGGGAAGCAACCCTTTCTGTCTGAGACATTCTTTCAGCCCATCCTGGGGGGCGGACCTCAGCCTGGCTCACCCGGAAGAGGCTGGACCAAGTAGTGGAACAACTGTTCAAGGCCATGTCTATCCGTTCAGGGGAGGTGAGGGATAGAGAGCAGAGAGGCATTCAAGGACAGCGTCCTTTTAATTCTATCTATAATGTGTGGTTCTTGGGAGAAGATCTGAAGCAGACATGGCAAAATATTAATATCTGTTAAAATGAAGAGTGAAGGGGCGCCCGGGTGGCTCCGTCGGTTAAGCATCTGACTTCAGCTCAGGTCATGATCTCGCAGTTCGTGAGTTCAGGGCCCCGAGTCGAGCTCTGTGCTGACAGCTCAGAGCCTGGAGCCTGCTTTGGATTCTGGGTCTCCTTCTCTCTCTGCTCCTCCCCCACTCCTGCTCTGTCTCTCTCAGTCTCTCAAAAATGAATAAATGTTAAAAAAAATTTTTTTTAATGAATAGAGAATATAAGAGTATTCATTATATCAATGACTTTCAAGTATTTTTCAAAAATATTTATTTACTTATTTATTTATTTTGAGAGAGAGAGAAGGGGAGAGGCAGACAGAGAGACAGAGAGAGAATTCCAAGGAGGTTCCACTCAGCACAGAGCCTGACACGGGGCTCAATCCCATGACTGAGATCAGGACCCGAGCTGAAATCAAGAGTTGGACGCTTAACCAGCTAAGCCACCCAGGTGCTCAAGTATTTTTGACCATAATCTATAGTAAGAAAGACATTTCATCCACCAGAACACATGCATACACACACACAGGCCAGAAATAATGTTCATGAAGGACCCTCATGCTCCTGGCTCTTACCATATATGACAGACCTGATCATTTCCATTCCATTCTATTCTAGTCTAACCTAGTCTGCTCAAAATCTTGCCTGCAATCTCTTTAACTGACTTCATAACCTACTAGCAGTTCAGGGGAGAAACTGCATTATATTATTCTCTGCCCTTTTCTGAGTTTTTGGAGTATTTTATGACAGAAATACCAGTACCCACGCGCGTATCTCCCATTATTGCCAAACATTTAACATGCATATTTCACCGACGTATCAAAATCACCACGTGCATTGGAAAATCGTGTGGAATCGTTGCCAGATTGCAACACGACGTGCATAGAAAGGGCGGCTTAGCACAGTTCTGGGCACACTGTCAACAGAGGAGAGTACTATTGACCTGTTTCCAGGCTAGGGCAGGGGCTCTGCATCCCCTCGTGATGCTGTGCTCAATCCCCGGATGCTGGTAGTGTTTGCTTGTCAGCTGCTCCAGAACTACCATGCAGCACAAGGGGCCCACAGTGTTCAGCATGGCACCTAGTTGTGGGTTCTCGGTAAATGTGTCGGAAACACGGTTTGTGAAGATACCGGCCTCTGTGGAGATAATACAGGCTCGAAGCTCCAAATAGACACCAGAGTCCGACCTCCTGGGTTCAAATTCCCAGAGTTGGAGAGGCCTGAGCTTGGATGCTAGCCCTGCCACTTAGCAGCTGTCTTACCTTGGGCAAGTTACTTAATCTCCCCGTGCCTTTGTTTCCTCCTCTGCAAAGTGGGCACAGCGATATTACCCTCTTCATGAAACGGTCATGCGGTTACACGAGATGATACCTCCACACTTCTCAGCATAGCGTGTGCTATTATTGCTAGATGTTTGTAGACTCAGCCTTGCGTCCCGCCCAGATGGGTCAGGGATGCCCATGTCTTAGAGGCTACATCGATGCCGGTCCCGTCGGCAACCCCTCTTCCCTGCTGCCGAATGACTGGCCCCATCTAAAGGGCACGGCCCCTTCACGAGCTCTTTGGAAACGATTTCCACGACGAGGCGGCTTTTAAGAGTGGCAGACCACCAAGCCCTGGTCGTGCTGGAAGAAGTGCCTCTGACATACAAGAGTCTAAACAGCTCCCCAGCTAGGAAGCCGGAGGGACGGGCCTGGTTTGTGCGCCCAGGAGACCGTGATTGCTTTCATATTTTTAGGGGATCTGAGCCGGCGGCTGAGACTAGCCGGGGCGTGGCCTTGTTGGCCGGTCATATTCTCCAGACGGATGGCGTGTGGCCTCCCGGCCCCCTGGGACCACGCGGGACTGCGAAGGGGCCCGTTTCCAGCAAGAGCCACATCTCTTCATTCTTGGCCGGGACCGAAGCACAGATGCTGTTTCTAGTTTAATTAGAGAGTCAGCAGGAGGGATGGGGGCCACCACGTGACTCCCAGCACCGACTTGCACAAGCTGTAATTACAGGCGCAATCCGCCTCCGAAGCGGGTTTGCTAGGGGCTGGGCCCTGTTAAGGGCCATCAAGAGCTGGCTCATCGTCCTCCGTGTGTGTGTGTGTGTGTGTGTGTGTGTGTGTGTGTGTGTTGAAAGGACTGCCGTTAATATGTCCTACAGAAAAGTTCCAACCTGTTAGGAAACTTCTGAGACCGTGAAGGGCTTCCCAGGGTCCGGAATGCCTCGTGGCCTAGCCCCCAGAGCACGGGGTCTGTGTTTGAGAGGCGCGGGTTCGAACCTGGCTCTGGTGTGGACCTCGGAAGATTTCCTGCCGTTAATAAATCTGCTCAGTGAATATTCCTCTCTGGGCCTGGGGCTGATGCTAGAATCAAATGAATGAATGATTACCAAGCGGCTGACACGCAAGTGACAGCACATATCCCTTCTCTCTCTCCTCTAGCCAGTAAATCACTGAAAATAAATGTCCTTATGTTCACTCCAGGGTTGACAGACGTCAACCTGCTTTGCTGCAGGGCCTTTACCTTCGATCCACTATTCCTGCAACAAATTTCTACCCAGTGCCTGCACCTGCCAGGAGCGTTTGGGATGCATCAGGGAACAACACAAGATAAATTCTCTGCCCTCTGGGGGCTTCCAGTTGAGCTGGAGAGCCTGATGGGTACATGACAGGTTTTGTAATACAGAAAGTTCGGCGGTGAAAAGGATATGACACAGACGAGGCCAGCAGGGCAGGAAAGGGGGTGGTGGTCCCGGACGGCGAGGGCTGAAATTGCAAATCGGATCATCGGGGTGGGCCTCAGGCCAGCGGAGCCGAGACTTGGGGGGGGGGGGGGGGAGGGTGAGGGTGTGAGCAGCCGAGCGGGCAGGAGCGGAGGCCAGTGTGGCCAGTGCAGGGGATGAGGGCAGGGGAGCCAGAGATGAGACAGAGGGAGGGAATGGAGGGCGGAGCGGCTGGTGTGGCCCCACCTGCTGTTGCTTCAGGAGGGGCCGGGAGAAGGGCCCTCCGTTGCAGTTTGCAGGTGCCGCCCGCCAGGGACGGGGGTCCGTGTCCGGGAGAGGCAGAACAGCCAGCTGCCAGGGGCCTTTGAGTCGGAGCCCCCTGTTCTCTGGGCCAGTAAGGAGCTCACTAGCCACTGCTTCCTACTGGCCCCTTCTCCTGCCACGCCAATCCCTTGATGCGGCTGCAAACCCCATGGTGATCTTCAGAGATCTCCCCACACCCTCCGGGGCTCTGATGCGGAGAGAGATGGCCGTCTGGAGCCCTCCCTGAATCCCGCCCCTCTTCTTGGACCAGGCAACACCTCCTTCCTCTGGGGCTGGGGCCTCGCTGCCCAGGGCCCCCGGGATGCCCTCCTCCACTTCTTCGGTGGCGTCACCGGGCAAATCCCCTCTCGTAGGACCTTCAAGGTGTAGCTCTCCACGACTCCACCCCCACCGAGGGCTAAATGCCGACGGACGTCCCTGCCAAGGATGGTCTCTGTCTGTATGCCCTGCCCCCGGGGCGCACACTCAGCAGGAGAGTCCCTTTAGTCCTTACCCCACAGCCATCTGGCTCCTGCCCTGTCCCCACCGGGCCACCGTCTCCAGGGCCACTGATGGTGCCCCTCGACCCACCCGGGCCAACGCTGCCGTCGTTCACAATTGCCGTCCTGGTTCTCTTCCCTCCTCCACTC